TCCTCTCTTCGTTGGACAGCTCGGCTCCTTGCTCGGTCACAGACTTCATGCAACTCGCCATGTCATCATATCTTTCAGCCTGCTCAGCCAGTTTGGCCTTTTGCACTAGCTCATTTTTATCCATGCTGATATTTCTAAAGAGGAAAAATAGTGAGGCATTATTAAGACATTGGTTAAGGACAAAAACGTTTCAACTTCTCATGCAGAGCAGCCATCCTCTAAGTAGCCTGGAATTATAAGAAGTACAGCTGAAATCTGGAATGCAAGGCACATAAGCACTCAAACACACAAACAGAAAACTTAAAGTCATTGCTTCTTTCTAAAAAAAAAGAATTGTTAAATGGTTTAAGTTAATTCTGAAATGCAAGCAAAAGCATCTAAAGAAACTGGAAGCAAATAATTCCTATCTTAAGTGCGCACACGATCCCAGTTCTTTACCATCACTCTCTCTTAAGAACGCATTCAAGCTGTGGCATCAACCGCACCTAATTACAAATGCAACTAAACTGATAAAGAAAACAGCCAACGGTATCTTTGTCACAAGGACAAAAAGGCGGCTAGGCAAGCAGTACCACGCAGCTCTGTTCCTTAACAGAATCTTACCACTCCATCCAGAAAGGACTGGAAGAGGGATCTGCCAATCAAACCCCACATCCAATGCTCTCAAGTCAGAGCAGCGCAGATCCCTAAGCGCGAAGGACCGCACCTCCAGCAGTGTGAGCCTCCCTTCTCTAGCTGGGCTATGCTGGCCTTCTGACCCAGATATTTTTCAGAGACAAAAAGAAGTTTTTGCAGTTAGGAAGAAATATTACGTCGATGTCAGTATTTTACTAGCACGAGCTGGTGGGGATGCTTCGTAACCCAGATCCAGTCAAGGCTTGGTCTGCTCATAGAGACCCCGGTGCCTGGTTAAGGGGGCAGGGAGAACGGTCCTTCCCTGCCCCCCCGCCCCCTTTTATGTACCTAGCACAGTCCCCTCCGAGGCCCTGGCAACATGTTTCGGGATGTATCATCCTTCAAAGCTCACCTCAGTCCGGTCAGGATGCTTCATGCTTTCCCACACACAACACAATACCCCGCACCTTACCCGGTAGCCTTTTGTCATTTTTACACCAAGAAACCACGGCCAACGGCCGCGCTACTTCCCACAGACGGCAAAAACCGAGCGCGTTTCAGCCGTTCGGTCACCCGGCGCTTCCGGCAGTTCCTTCCCCAGCAGCGGGGCGGGAGCCCGGAGCGCCTCTCAGCGACCCGCCCAGCGCTCAGGAGCCATTTTAAGGAGCGCCGAGGCCCGCGCTGCCGCGGGCGGCTCGCCGCCGAGCACCGCGGCTGCGGGAGAGCAGTGGCTGCGGGAGAGCCGCGCGCCGCCGTAAGATGGAGCCGCGGGCGGCGGGGAGGGCGGAGGGCGGCGGGCGGCCCCCGCCTCAGGGCGGCCCCTCCTCTCCTCTTCTCTCGTCTCCCCTCCCCGCGCCGCGCCCGCCGCATCCGCCCGCCGCCGAGCGCCGCGCCCGCGCCTTTGTCATGGCGGCCGGGCGCCGCAGCCCTGCCCACCTCCGTGCGCCTTAATCCCGCTCACCTCCGCCCAGCGCCGGGGGCGGCGGAGCAGCGGCAGGAGGAGGATGCCGCCTTCCCGTCCCGAGCGCGGGGCGAACCGCGGGCCCGGCTCCGGAGCGGCGACGGGAAGGGAGGCGGGAGGGGGGGGGGGGGGTGGGGGGGGCGCGAGCTTTACCCCCCGGGGCCCCGCTGAAGGCCCCCGCACTGCTCCGCAGCCACACCCCGTGGCCCCCGCCCCTCCGAACCGAGCCTGTCGTCTCCCCTCCGCGTCGCCCCGGCCGCCCTCACCTGCCGCCGCCGCCCCTCGCCGCGAGCCCCCCCGCCCCGCTCCCTCCCCGCCGGGAGCCGCCCGAAAGGAAGGGCAGGGGCTCGGCGCTGCCGGCCTGTCGGCAGCCTCGCCTCGGCCCGGGTATCGGAGCGGCGGGCGGACGCGGGCCCCGTTACCTACGCGAGGCGGGAGCGAGGCGCGGTGTCTCGGAGCGGGCGGCCGGCGCGGACTGTGCCTATCTCGCGGCTCGCTGCGCTGCAGCCTCTTTCCCAGCGCCACACACGGCGTCTCCGCCAATCACCGCGCCGCTACCGCACGGGCAGCGCACCGCCCGTGACGTCAAGCGGCGCCATGGCAACGGCGAGGGCGCGAGCACGAGCCCGCGCCTCCCCCGGCTCACGGCGCTCAGGGCGGAGGCCGAGCCCGAGCCCGGGCCCGCCACGGCCTCGCCCGCGGGAACGCGCGTCTCCCATCCCCCGCCGCCCCCCGCCGCTTCCACCGCCGTGGGTCCGCGCCCCGCCCCTCATCCCCGGCCGCCGTCACTCCGCCAGCGCGGGGAGAGCCGCCCGGCCCGGAGCTGTCCCCGGGGCTGCGGCGCGTGTGTGGGCGTTCCCCCCTCCCCTCCGAGCCCCACGTTTCCTTCCCTCTCTGTGCCGCCTTTGTGTTTCCCACCCTGCCCGAGGTTTGCGCGAGTCGCGAAGTCGCAACGTGCTCGCCGCGGCCCTGCCGTGCCCGGAGCGGAGGGGCAGATCCCGCCGGGCTGGGCTGCCCTGGGGCCTGCGGCGCGCGGACGCCGAGGGGGAGGAGGAGGGGTGTTGGAATGCTGAACGCTGCCCGTGCTGGAAACGCTTTTTTATTTTTTATCGAGGTGCTGGAAGTCCGCGTTCGCTCGGCTGCTTCGTCCTGAGCGCCGTGCCCTCGGCCCTCACCGCCTTCCCTCGGGGCTGCGGGACGAGCCGTGCCGCACACACCGCTAGCAGTAACGCCGCGCTCCGGCCACGGCTCGGAGAGGTGGCTGTACAGGGAGCGGCACGGGGTGCGAGGCCACAGCGGGGAGAGCCTCCCCGTCTGCGGGGGTCGGGGATGTTTCCCCTTAGAGATCCGCACTGAAGCCGCCACGGAGCAGAACCATCTCCGCTGAAGAGGGAGATTCCCTCTCGTGGACTCCCTCAGGCTCCCATGTTTGTGGAGATTCCAGCGAGCACTCCACCCTACTCCTTCTCACTGCAAGAGCTGACACGGAACCTCACACGGCGGTCACGTGGGCGAGTGCCGCATCTCAGCTGTGGAGCAGGGACTGGAAAACGGCAACCGCGGCTCTCCCCGCTGCCCCTGCCTGGCTCACAGGCGTGTGTTTCACTGGTCACGGCAACAACCGGTGCGGGACAGACGTGTGTTTGTGTAGGCAGAGTCCTCAAAATGTCTTGGTAGGGCAGCGTGTGGGAATAGCATAGGAGGAGCGAGGTGATTCTCGGAAAGCAAGAGGAAGTTGTGAGCATGCTTGTGTTCTCGACAAGTAACTGGACAGGGCTGGGCTGGAGCACTACTAGAGCACAGTGTGTGCGGGTTCCCTGCCTGCGGTTGGCACTCCGTTCCTTTCCCTCTGTGCCGGTGGAGTTCTGCAGACCGAAAGTATGACCAAGTGGCCAGGATGGGGATTTTATTTCTGAATCTTAAAAACAACAGTCCTGCGTTTTGGCTAAATGTCAGTTAAGGCTCTACATTAACCTCTGCTTTACACAGTTGATTTCTTAAGAGTAGGACTTTCACTTACCTTTAAAACTGTGCAATATAAAGAGCTGTTACGTTTATACAGTGAAGTTTTACCTATAGCACTGGTTTATGGCTTCTTACTGCCCTTTCTTGCAGCCTAAGATACACTCTGAGGTTTGTTACAGCAATGTCTGTTATCTTAGATGCTGATTTAACACTGGGGTGTTTTTTTTGTTTGTTTTCCCTCCACTCCCCCCTTTCTCAACTGTTCTGGTGTGTTCCATCTACTCCAACATTTAAAGAATTTCACTCACTTTCACTTGGAACGTTTCTGGGATGTTTGAGAAAGGAGCTGAAAAAAGCAATGTTCAGAATGGTATTGAGTAGAGCAGGGCTCACAAGAATTTGCTGTCTGGGACAGGTGAGGAGATCGCTGATCTGAGCATGAAGGAGAATACAACCTTCATTTTTAATCTCCCTGGGGATACTTTGTTGCAATATGCACACTTGTTTTTGTAACAAGTGTGGTAAAGCTCAGGTTTGTCATGTATTCCAATACACAGTGCTTCTCCATCGTATCTGTTTTTATTTTTTATCATTATTGCTTTGGGAAGCAATAGGAGAGCTTGGGAGCTGTACATGAACACAGATGGTATGATAGCACAGTGTTTGCTGCAACTTGCTTCAAGTTATGTTTGAGAGTTCATTTTTAACATAAGCTTTAAACCTTTATTTTGTAGAAAATTCTCTTTGAAATGGCAACCACCCAAATATAGAATATACACTTTCAGAGGTACTTGAATGTTTTGTGGTAACACGATAAAAAATTAAGTGGCACTGGGAAAATAATAATTCTTGGAAGCGCATAAAAAATTCTTGCAGGAGCGTATGTCAGATGAAGCACAGGTAAACATCTCTTTTTGGTATCTCCAGGAGGTGTAGGAGAACCCCCTGTGAAGCAGGCTGCAGCACTGGAGGCAGCGTTAGTAGTTTTGCAGAAGGCAAACATCGGCCTTTCCATTCACTTTGTTCCATTATTTCTGGTTTTGGAGTGAATGGAACATTGCCCGCAACACCCCTAATAGCCACTAAGCATAGCTTTGTTTGCTAACAGCCCCATGCGTCGATAGGCTCTGCACTCATTCACCTTCAAGTGGGCTATTTTTGCCAAACACCATTTCCACTTCTCTGGTTTTCACTAGCGCTGCCATTTGAAAGCGACCCAAGGAATTAGGCATTACTCACCTTTGCATATGCCGTCTCTCGAACAGATATTCTCCTGCTGTCTGCTATTCTTGTATTTCCTGCACTTTACCCCTGGTGTGGAATGCTAGTTTTTGTCTTCTTGCTGCCGTTTTGACCAAGGAATTCAGCCTCTTAAAAAGAAACGCTTTAAGCAGTTTCCCTTTTCTTCAGCAGCATTTTCTGTGCTGCCTTCCACGCAGCTCTTTGTTCGGTGACTTGCACTTTCACTATCTCAGGCTGTCAGGCATACTTGTCAGCAGCTGGGAGCTTGAACTCATTTGTGGAGTTAGACACATTAGCATATAAAAGTATGTATATGCATGCTTATTTACAGCACTTCTCACTTTACTTTCTTCTTACATGAGAGAAAGAAATGGAGTGGGGAAAAAATGAAAACAGCCCCAGATCTTTCCTTCTCCCTGGAAGAAGTGTTCAGTTCTTTCTTCTTCCCTGTCATCGTTTTTCCCTGGAAGTGTTTAGTCATTCTCCTCCGTGCTTAACTGTATCTGATTAAGAGCGGACGAGTAGCAAGGGAGGGTTATCCACTCAGTAGAGCGGGGATTTTGGGGGAGGTTACCCTCACTCCAGCCAGGAAGTCGGCTGGAATAACTCCTACAAGTTGCTGGGCTGGGAGGCACCGTGCTGCTGGATCTGGTGCAAGGAGGCAGCTGCTGCTGCTGGAGAAAATGGAGATGTTCTGACTGACTGTTTTTTTCCTTGGAACGGGGACATGAGCAAAGGCAGCCTAGCAAAGGGCACTTCTCTGGAGACCGAGAGATGATCCTGCAAATCTATGGCCTCTGGGGGGGGGAGGAAAGATGGCAGCTCTGCTTTTTTGGGGCCCTTCTGTCTAGAGCCACTTTTCTAACAGTTGCTGCTCAAAATCTTTGCTGTTGTGAATGTTACATGCTTTTATGGCCGATTCTCAGGTTATTATGTTGTATACAGGGGTATCCTTTTGCCATCTTTTTTAGCTTCTGTAGGGCTTTCAGCTCCTTGCCCTCCAGCTAGCAAAGGAAAATCTTCAGAGAATTACCACCTCTCTGGAATAAAACTTACATCAAAATTTTTAGGAATATGCCCTAGATACCTTTGTTCCTTTCCATATCCGAAGCCTGTGATTTACAAGTCAAACCTTAAGCTTTACTGACAGCATTGGTGGATGAGATGCTTTATTCCTCTCTTATGTAGACTGTTTGGGCTCTGACACGCTTTGTCCTCAGGGCATTCTTGTAGATTGACCAAACAGAGACTGTACTGAAGGAAGGATGAATTTTAGACTTTTCATTTTCTTTCTTTCTTTCTTTCTTTCTTTCTTTTCTTTTTTTTCTTGATGGTCTAAAATGAGTCAGATTCTGACTCTGTATCAGGTGCCAGTGATAAAAACACACACTGTGGATAAGGCTGCTATTTTCCATCACCAAATGGAAAGCAGTTACAACTACTGGGTCTCGTGCTCTCTCCCTCTGCTTCATCTACAACCTGCTGAAAATTTCTCTAAGCCCCTCACTTCTCCATCCATAGTCCATTTTTATTAAAAACGATGCATCTAGCTGAAGAATTTAAGTTCTCCTTCCATAATCTTGTACACTGGATTTAGATCTTCAAACACTTTTGGATATGGACTGATGTGTGTGTGCATAGAGTCAGTGCAGGATTGCAAGTGTCCTTCCAGTTAGCTGGAAATTAATGTGAGAGGCCTGGCTGACAAGGCTTTTGTGTGTAAAGTGTAGCTTCATGGGCATGTGAGTGTATCTGTGGCATTTGAGCACCTACATATTGAGTATAAAAATTACAAATTCTTGAATCTCTGAGAATTTATTTTCAGAACAAATGTCTTGGTGCTCGTGTATTCACGCATTCCCATGGAAAATTCAGCTTGTTTCTCTGTTGTACTTGGCTTGATTTTGGATCATTAAATGCAAACCGAAAAGCTACGCGGAAGAATAAAGTACAACACTTTCGAACAAGATTGATTAATCAGACTATTTTGAGATGTAACTAAGGACTGTTTTAGGGATGCTGCTGCACTTATCAGAGCTGTGAAGAAATCAAATGAATATCTTCAACCAATGACAAGAAAAAGGTTTGGTGTGAGTGTTTGAAACCACTTGGCTGAACAGAGGCCTGCAAGTGAAATGTATGTGGTTTATATATTCATGATTTTATTATGTTCTCATTTTTAACTGATTGGCTAATGCTGAGGTTTTTGTGTGTTCCAAAGATATACTGAAGGAGAGTATCATTTAGGTTTTCTTCTCCATTTCGAGATGTATGAGCAAAGCACACTTTGTTCTATGAAGTGCTGGGAGCACTGACTGGACTTGGGTTCTCTGGTGTGAGTTCAAGTGAATGTGATACAGAATTGATGAATTCACCGCACATTGGTCTTGTCGTGGTACTCTACATGGGCCCAAATTACACCCTATTTTTATAATTACTATTATAATATTTATAATTATTTATAATTACTAAATCCTGAGTAATTCTGTTGGTTTACAACTGAAAACAGATCTTTGCTTTTTGCAAACAATAGCCATTGAGATTTGGGAACTTGGAATTCTCTTTAGTGTGTATTCATTTCCTTTATGTGTAACTGTTCTTGAGTGAGCAAGATAATACTTAAAAAGTGCTACCAGAAGAGACAGGATGTCTTGAAGCAAGCTTGAGACTAACATCATTCTGTTATACTTACTTTGATTTATTTTTGGACTTATTTTTTATTTATTTGAGCTTACTAGCTAATGTTATTTTAATGTTGATTGTCAGGAAGAAGGCTCCATACTGTCTTGCTTCATATCTGTTCTGTCACTTAATTGCAGTCATTCTTGTCTCATATGCATTTATTCTGAATTAGTTTGTCTGATATTTTAAAGTGATAAATTGTTTATTTTATTTACATTCTTTGGCAATATATGATGGCTGCTAGAGTTGAAGACATCAGAAAGAAATGTTGTAGTGCTTGTAATTCATAAAAATGCAAGTTGCAAGTTTCATAGGGTACTGCCTGAGGATCTCTAAAGAAACTTTATTGAATGAAGTAGTGTGGCTGCTATGTGATGTATGCAAACTCTCACTAAGCACATGTACTCTTACTGAAAACATGTTCTCCTGAAAGGAACAGGCAACGTGTTGAACCCATGCTTTTAAAAGATAATCTGAGGAGTTGCTGATAATTACGCATTTGTTATTATACTAGAAATGGAATTATATGACATCTCAAAGATCATTTTGTGACCTACAGTTTCTAGAGTAGAAAAGTCTCAGAGGTATGGATAAAGGAGAATTTGCTGATACCTTTTGTTTAGATTTTTCAACCCTTTGGTAAAACAGTCACAACAGGCTAGTGTAGAAATTCAGAATGCAAGGGAACAAGGGAAGCTTGGGCCCCTAAGTGTGTATTTAAGGAACTTTATTCAAGTTACAGGCATTAATAGCATTTTTATGAAGGTTTGCTTAATAGTGTAGGAATTTACATTTTTCACTGTTAAAATCTCTTTGTTCCCTTGTTTTTGCTGCCGAGCATGTGCAAAACCATCTTGACAGCTCCACGCTGCTAAACCCCAAAGAAATACATGAAATAAGCATTTTCATGCAAGTTTCCTCTCAACTGCCTGTCAACTTCAGTTTTGCATCCCAGCAACCAATTTCAACTCATTTTGTTTTATACTGACTACATTTATCACAATTTATTTTATATTCTTGATAGGGTATTGAAAGAGGCTCTCAGGGCCGCAGATTGCTGCTGAAATGTTAGACAACATTTGGCATGAACAGGATCAGAAATTAAAAACTGGCAGTTTTTAGCCTGGTTGCCTTTGAAATTAAGTTTATGAGATTGTGTTGTTTATCTCTCTGTACATTCAGCAGTTCTCCTTACACACTTTGGTACTCAATTTCAACAGATTTGAAAGATGAGCTGCAATCTCAAGATAAATAAGGTCTGTGAAAAACTACAGCTGTACAGAGGACAAGGAGCATAATTAAATGCCGGCACTGTGGAAAGGCAGGTGGAAGCTAGCCTTTTTATAGCAGTTGAGAGCAGCCAGCCAGCCAGCCAGAGTAAGCTCAACAATTTTGATTGAGCATAGCATGTGCCCTACATGGAGGGTGGGTTTCAGAAGAGAACCTTAGATTGGAATCATAGAATCACAAGGATGGAAAGAACCTCCAACATCATCTAGTCCGACCGTCTTCTTATCACCGTTACTACCCACTGAGCTACTAAACCAAGTTAATGAAAGGTTATTATGGCAAAGGAGATTTTAGGAGACGAAGAATGCAAGTCCATGAAAATAATAAATCAAACCCCACTTCACTTGGTTTATTTCTCACAGAGCAACTTGGCTGTCTTGTCTTTCCTCTTCTTCTTCCTTCCCTTCCTGAACACCTTCTTTCCTCCCAGAATCTCCGGAGTCTGTTACTATCTTCGTATTCCCCCTTGATCTCCTGGCTCAGAATCAACTCTTGTAACTTAACAGCATACGGATTTTGTCTGATTTAGTAATGAGGTCTCAGATATACTCTCTTGGGAGCCAGTTAATGGCTATTTCTTCGTCCAAAAAGTTCAGCTGGGCAGCTAAGATGTGCTCGTGTCAAGAGCTGTAACAAAACTAATTGGTACTGACCCCTTTCCATCCTGACTGGAGAATCTCCTGCTCTGGTATACACACTCATTAAATATCTGTCGATTCTTATTGTGCCCACTGCCACCAACCCAACATGTTAAAGGTCCAGTTGTGTGGTGGGTCTAGAGAACCTAGTTTAGAGGAAGTTAACTAGAGTTAAGTAAATGAGCTTTTTCGTTCCTTTTTTTAAAATCTGTATTCATAATAGTATATCAAATAGTATATCCAACCCAACATTACAAAGATTTTAGTATATTCCTCTACAGTATAGAAGCTTAAGACTTCTCATAGGGTCTTTAGTGCTCTATAAAACACTGTGAGAGTTGTGTTCTTTACAAATTAGCTTGGCTTAGCAGCAAAGAAAAACTGCTTGTCTCCTTTTGGTCTTTTCCTCAAGATGGATACCTTACCTAGACGAGAAAGTTTTAGGATATCTTCTGTGGGCAGTTATCCTAACAGGACAGCACAACTGAGTTGATGTCAAAACAGAAAATATGTACACACATAGCACTGTCCTGTGATAAAAGCTGCTCTTCTGCACAGTGTCGCTGCTTGTGAAACCTGCCTGGTTTTACATAGTAGTAAAACCCCAGGAAGTATAAAAGTAGTGAAAGTGCTTGCAGTGTGGCCTCGTTACCCTTTTACAGTTGTTTAAAGGTCAGCAGCAAATCAACATTTAC